CTGAATAACTCCTCCCTGTCGCACCCCGAGGCCCGTCGGAAGGGCGGGCCGGGCGTTTCGCCTGAGTCTTCCTTACCGAGTATGATCCTGAAGCGTGGAAATTGGCAACAGTTTCACAGATGGAGGGCGGGCGGTTTTCAAAATGTGGCTCTCGCCTTTGCGCCGCGTGCATCTTGTTTTGAATTTGCAAGAGTTTTACGGATTGAGCGTGGGTCGTCTTGAACATGTGGCTCTCGCCTTAACGCCGCGCACATTCGCCTTGCACATTGCAAGAGTTTCACGGATTGGGGGCGGGCTGTTTTTTTAATGTTGTTCTCGCCTTAGCGCCGCGCGCACTCGTCTTACACACTTGCCAGAGTTTCAAGGATTCCCGTGGTCAGCGTAAGAAATGTGCGTTTGGAGCGATTCAGAATTGTCAGAGCGCAACAGTAACGTTGATTCGCGCAATTGAAGCCCCAGGAATGGTGTTCTGGCACGACTCAAGCTCGTCAAGACGCAACAGTCAGGTTATTTCGTGGCGTCGGAGACCGGAGAATGGTGTTTTGGCACGCTTCAGGGTCTTCAGACGGTTGTCTCCCAACAGGGCACTTCTCTGTGGAAATAAACCCTTGTAGAGCCTATGACCTATGAACAGGGAGCTCGGAGGAGGGCTTATTTCAGTACCGTTGATGAGTCTTAGGCTTATACTGGTTAGTGCTCCTCCTCCTCCCCCTCCTCCTCCTCCTCCTCCTCCTCACTACACAATCCTCCTCCTCCTCCTCCTCCTCCTCTTCCTCCTCCTCATACATCCTCATTCCTCCACCTCTATATTCCCCTCCTCCTCCTCCGCCGGATCCTGCTCCTCCTCCTCTTCCGACTCCCCCTCCTCGTCATCATCATCAGCATCATCATCATCATCATCACCACCACCACTATCATCATCATCATCATCATCATCATCATCATCATCATCATCATCATCATCATAATCATCATCAGCATAATCATCAGCATCACCGTAATCATCATAGTCGTCATCCACATGAGCATCATGAGCATCATCATCATCAGCATCGCCATCAACATCCTCGTCAGCATTACTTGTTAAGAATAATAATCACAATCACCATCACCATCACCATCATCATCACCATCACCAACACCATCATCATCATCATCATCATCATCATCACCATCAGCATCATCAGTAGCAGTAGCAGTAGCAGTAGCAGTAGCAGTAGCAGTAGCAGTAGCAGTAGCAGTATCAGTATCAGTATCAGTATCAGTATCAGTATCAGTATCAGTATCAGTATCAGTATCAGTATCAGTATCATCATCATCATCATCATCATCATCATCATCATCATCATCATCATCATCATTCTCACCATCACTATCACCATCATCAGCATAAGCATCCTCTTCAGCATCGTCATACTCATCAGTGTCATCATCATCATCAGCATCATCATCACCCTCATCATATTGTTTACCATCATCCTCACCATCATCATCATCATCATCATCATCGTCGGCGTCAGCAGCATCATCATCAGCATCATCATCAGCAGCATTACCATCATCAGCATCATCAGCGGCATCCTCATTGCCATCAGCACCACCACCACCATCAGCATCATCATTGTCGTCATCATCATCATCATCATCATCATCATCATCATCATCATCATCATCGTCATCATCGTCATCATCGTCGTCGTCAGCATCACCATCGCCACCATCATCAGCGGCATCATCATCAGTAGCATTATCAGCATCATCGTCACCATCACCTTCTCAGTTTCATTAGTATTGTTCGCCGTATTATTATCATTATAAATCCTGCTCCTGCTCCTACTCCTACTTCTCCTCCACCTCCACTTCCACCTCCACGCCCACCTCCACCCCCTCCTCCACCTTCACCTCCTCCTCCACCTCCTCCCTCCCACAAACAGACGACGGATGTCAGGCGGACCCGTTTCCCCAATCGGCCGGGATCCAGGGTGCAGCTGGCTCCGAACTCTCGTCCGATGCAGGTAGCATGCCTGCCACGCTGCGATGGCCAATGGGGCCCCGAAGAGTCGAGCAGTGCGCCGAGAGGTCGAGAACGCGGCATGCCCCCTAGTTGGGAGGCTGAAGGGCCGCGCGGAACACACAGCTCTCGACATCTCTTGACCCTCCTGTGCTGAGTTGGGCCCTCGTTTTGTACCTGCGGCGCCCCACGAATGAGGCCCACAGCAACGTTCCCGCCGATGCTGCTGCTGTGCCCACTCCTCCTCGTCTTCCTCCTCCTCCTCCTCCTCCTCCTCCCCCTCCTCCTCCCCCTCCCCCTCCCCCTCCTCCTCCTCCTCCTCCTCCTCCTCCTCCTCCTCATCGTCATCATCCGTGCCCCGAGGCCCTGTCTATGTTTGAGACCTCCCACGCCCTGTCGGACTGCGGTGGGCGGTGTCTGCGGTGTCGCGGGTCCGCGTCGGCTGCCCGAGTAAGGGAGTGGCGTAATGCGCTGCGATTCTCAAGCTAACATAGATGGTTCTCTTCGTGCACTTCCTGAGGGGGCCACCGTTCACATTGCTGGGGGGTGGAGTCACCCCTCCCACTGTATGAGGTACCACCAGGATCTCATGCTCTGGTTTTGTGCCAGTTGTGAAATGTACGGGGACAAGCAGCTCGTCGGGAAGGTTTGCCTTCCCCAGCCCACTGCCATGCCACTAGAAGAGAATATCTCCAGTTGAGCAGTCTTGGGCAATGGCCCAAAGTTTATAGCAAAGACGAATTCGCCCGTAAAGCCCAGAAGCGGAGTCAGTAATCCTTGGTAGGCCCAAGTCCAGGGACTCCAACTCCAACTCCAACGCCAACTAATTCTCCGACTCTCCAACTCCAACTCCAACTCCTCCTCCTCCTCCTCCTCCTCCTCCTCCTCCTCCTCCTCCTCCTCCTCCTCCTCCCTCCTCTGTCCTCCGTCCTCGGTCCTCCGTCCTCCGTCCTCCTCCTCGTCCTCCTCCTCCTCGTCCTCCTCGTCCTCCTCGTCCTCCTCGTCCTCGTGCTCGTCCTCGTCGTCCTCCTCCTCCTCCTCCTCCTCCTCCATTCATTGCCACTGCTCTCCGCCCCCCCCTTCCCTTCTCCTTGCCTCTGTTCTCAACAGGTCCATGTCGAACACCGCTCACACGCTTCGTGGCCCCACAGGGAGCGTCGCCGAAGACTCCAACGGGCGTGTTCACATAGCAACCCTGTCCAACAATACTATCGGCACGCATGCGTTGAGCTAAGAACTACTTCCTGCAAACACTATTATATCAAAGGATATCCTACAACAAAAGACCAAGAGGGTATACTGCAACAGAAGACCGCCGAGCGGGCATTACAAAACCTGCCCAAAACCTCTCAAAATCCACGACTAAGCCTGCTCACACGAAAAATCGAACACTTCGGTGTGTGTGTGTGGGTGTGGTTATACATGCAACATCACAGCGCGCGAATTCGCTGACATCGCAATACTGACATCTATGCCACATGAAAACACGCGGGCGGCACCTGACCCTGGCTTTCGGGTCATAGCTCGGGTCTCCGGCGGCCGTTCCAGACGATTCGGCCCCCCCTGGAACGGTCTAGCGTTAAGTCGGGCGTGTCCCCCTACAGGGGGATTTTGGACGAAAAATAAGAAACACCCCAAACATGCTCCAAAAATGCCCAAAAATACTGAAACAATTAGTCCCCAGACAATTTTTTGACTATTTTTGAATATGCCCCCTGTAGAGGGACAGGCCCGACTCAAGTCTAGCGCTCCGAAGCCAGAAAACCTTCAGAAGCCCACGGGGACCTCCGAAGAATACTCCTGCCTGTGCGGCCCCTGGACAGACCAGGCTGCCAAGCTTCGCACGCCGCGGCCCGCGAGGCGCGATGCCGCTGCGCCCTCGCGCCCTCACGGGGCCCTCTCTTGGAGAAAGGCAGCCGCGCGCGGCCGCTCCGGCCAAGACCGCGACGCGCGAAGCGCGACCACCTCCGCGCCCCCGCCGGGTGACCTGGGGCGACGACCCAGTAAAACGACGCGAAGATCGGGACAAAATCGGATCGGGATGACTCGAAATCTCTGAGAATCGGCGGGTTTGGAGGATGTATTGGGCGCCGCGGCCGCTCCAGAGCGTTCCGGAACGCTCTGAGAGCGCTCTGGAGCGATTTATCCCGATCCTAGCCCTGTTTTACCCAGGGGAGCGGGGGGGAGGAAACAGTCCGACCAAGGCCAGGAGGACGTCCTCCAAGAACATGAGACCCTCCGCCCGCCCAAAGAGCCCAAGTCATAGTATCACCGAGGGTGCCCTTTCGTTGCGTCACCGAGGGGGCCCTCCCCCAGGATGCACAAGGACATCCAGCAAGCACGAAGAACACTAAGGCTCCCCCATCCCCGAGCCGACCTTGATCTTAGACCTCGGCCCGACTGTGCGAGAGCGTGAAGCGGCCGCGCCGATCCCGCGCGATGGCCGACACGGCAAAGGGAGACGAGGTCAGGAGGAGGTCCCCCTCCTGCTCCTCCTCCTCCTCCTCCTCCTCCTCCTCCTCACTCCTCCTCATCTCCGCCTCCTCCTTCCCTCTCCTCCTCCCTCACTCCTCCTCCTCCTCCTCCTCCTCCTCTCTCGTCCTCCTCCTCGTACTCACTCCTCCTCTCCCCTCTCGTCCTCCTGCCACCTCCTCCTCCCTCCTCCTTCCTCCTCTCCTCCTCCTCCCTCTCCTCCTCCTCCTCCTCCCTACCTCCTAACCTCCTCCTCCTCCTCCTTCCTCCTCCTCCTCCTCCTCCTCCTCCTCCTCCTCCTCCTCCCCCTCCTCCTCCTCGTCCTCCTCGTCCTCCTCGTCCTCCTCCTCCTCAATCTTTCCCCGGCTGCGCTAGAGGCTGCGCGGCCCCCGGACGCACCCCCGCGCCGCACCGCACCGCGGCGCGGGGCGGGCCCGGGACCACGCGGGCGCGGGGGGCCTCGGTCGGGCCACGCCCCGCTGGGCCACGCCCCCGACGCCAGCGAGCAGGCCGCCGCCTCGCTGCGGGGGCGCTGCGCAGGAGTGGGCGGCGCGCACAGGGGGGTAGGGGGAGGAGGAGGAGGAGGAGGAGGAGGAGGAGGAGTGGGAGGAGGAGGAGGAGGAGGAGGAGGAGGAGGAGGAGGAGGAGGAGGAGGAGGAGGAGGAGGCTACTGATGACGCCGCCCTGTCAAAGGGCGCTGGCACGCAGGCCACGCGACTCGGGCCTACGCCGAAACGCACTTGCCGAGCCCAATGGCCCAGCGAGAAGTTACTGGCAGGCTGCCCGCTACGACTCCTGCCGACAGGCAGGAGCATGGCAGGTAGCCCGCGCCACCGCACGAGCCGCGGCCCGGCGGGAGACCAAGATTTTCGAGCAACGCCCAGCGGCGGCGACCCGCCACGAGCGGAAAACCGACCCGGAGGCCAAAACGAGGCGAACCCAGCAAGGGCGACGAGAGGCCAACGCCACCACCCCCACGGGACAACGCCCCAAGAAAAACACACAGCCTCGATCGCAGGCCAGCCTCACTCGGGAAAGAGGTTCTCGTCGACCCAGGCCTGACCGAACCGCTTCACGGCGAGCTGGCGCAGCTCGCGGTTGGAGAGGCTGTCAGGCAAAAAGCCCGCCGTCGCCGTAACGCCGGGTTCCGATGACGGGGCGCTGAAAGCTATTCAACCCTATCGATTAGCTACATCTTCTAAGGTTTTTTGGACAATTCGAGGGTTACCTTCGGATTTCCCAAGAATCTCAATATGTTCTGAAACAAGACTAAATGCAATATTATTATTCTGGGGCCGGCCTGGGGCTTGAAATTACAGGGTAACCCTGAAATTTCCGAAGAAGAATAAAAACTTCAAATTATTATTATTGGCGTGCGCGGTCCTGCTGCTTTAGCATGGAGGGTGAATTTGAATTAAGGGAGGCGCGCAACGTAAATTATTCTTGGCTGGGCGGGTGGCAAGGAGGGTTTCCCTGAATTTGCCGATGGGGGAGAGCCGATCGGGGGAAGCCTATGGAAGACTGTGAAGGGCGGCCTGCGAGGGGCAGACTCTGGGAATCCTTGGGGATCCCTTGGGAATCCTTGGGCATCCCTAAGGAATCCTTAGGAATCCCTAGGGCATCCACAAGAATCCCAAGGAAATCCTTAGGAATCCCGAGGGCATCCCTAGGAATCCCGAGGGAATCCTTAGGAATTCTTAAGGGCTCCTCAAGAATCCAAAGGGAATCCTGAGGGATCCCTTGGGAATCCTCAGGAATCCCGAAGGAATCCCTAAGGTGTCGTTAAGAATCCCCGCGGAATCCGGAAACCCTCGGGGATACTTATGACTCCCTCGGGAATCCAAGAGAATCCCTGCGGAATCCTTGGGATTCAAAACGGCATCTTCAAGAATCCCTAGGGAATCCTGCGGAATCTCTCGGTGCTCCCAAAGAATCCCTTCGGAAATCCTCGGGAATCCTTTGGGGATCCTGCGGGGTCCTCAGGGAATCTTTCGGAATCCCTCGGGGCTCCTTAGGAATCCCTGGTGAATCCCCAAGAATCCCTAGGGCACCCTTGGGAACCCCAAGGGGAACCTCAGGAATCCCCAGGACATGGCCCGGCGCTCTCCGAGGAATCCAGATGACTGCCACCTTGGACGTTTTCCATGCGGCGCAAGCACACCAGGTGACCCACGAAGGGGTGGGTCACCAGAAAACTGGTTTAAAAAAGTGCTACACCTGCATCCTGGGCCTCGTCATGAGGCGATGCACTGCCACCCAATATGTTTGCCATACGGCGCAAGCACAACAGGTGACCCACGAAGGGGTGGGTCACCAGAAAACTGGTTGAGAAAAACAAATTGTTTCACTTGCATTCTGGGCCTCAACATGAGGCGAAGCATTGCCATTCAATATGTTTGCCATACGGCGCAAACACACCGGGTGACCCACGAAGGGGTGGGTCACCAGAAAAATGGTGGAGAAAAACCCATTGTTTCACTTACCTTCTGGGCTTCAACATGAGGCGACGCACTGCCATTCAAAGCGTTTTCCTCACGGCGCAAGCACACCAGGTGACCCACGAAGGGGTGGGTTGGGTCACCAGAAAACTGGTTGAGAAAAACAACTGTCTCACTTGCATTCTGGGACTCAACATGAGGCGACGCACTGCCACTCAATGCGTTCTCGATTCGGCGCAAGCACACCAGGTGACCCACGAAGGGATGGGTCACTAGAAAACTGGCTGAGAAAAACACAATTGTTTCACTTGCATTCTGGGCCTCAAAATGAAACGAAGCATTGCCACCCAAAACGTTTTCCGTGCGGCGCAAGCTCAACATTAGGCGATGCATTGCCACTCTATACGTTCTCCTCACGGCGCAAGCACACCAGGTGACACACGAAGGGGTGGGTCACCAGAAAACTGGTTGATAAAAACAAATTGTTTTACTTGCATTCTGGGCCTCAACATGAAGCGATGCATTGCCACTCAAGGCGTTCTCCATGCGGCGCAAGCACACCAGGTGACCCACGATGGGGTGGGTCACCAGAAAACTGATTGCGAAAAACAATGTTTGCTTCACCTGCATCCTGGGCCTCGTCATGTGGCGATGCACTGCCACTCAATATGTTTGCCATACGGCGCAAGCACACCAGGTGACCCACGAAGGGGTGGGTCACCAGAAAAACTGGTTGAGAATAGCCCATTGTTTCACTTGCATTCTGGGCCTCAACATGAGGCGATGCACTGCCACGCAATACGTTTTCCATGCGGCGCAAGCACAGCAGGTGACCCACGAAGGCGTGGGTCACCAGAAAACTGGTTGAGAAAAACAAATTGTTTCACTTGCATTCTGGGCCTCTCAATGCGTTTTCCTCACTGCGCAAGCACACCAGGTGACCCACGAAGGCGTGGGTCACCAGAAAACTGGTTGAGAAAAACAAATTGTTTCACCTGCATTCTGGGCCTCGTCATGAGGCGATGCAATGCCACTCGATACGTTTTCCATGCGGCGCAAGCACACCAGGTGACCCACGAAGGGGTGGGTCACCAGAAAACTGGTTGAGAAAAACAAATGGTTTCACCTGCATTCTGGGCCTCAGCGTGAAGCGATGCACTGCCACTCAATATGTTTCCCATGCGGCGCAAGCACACCAGGTGACCCACGAAGGCGTGGGCCACCAGAAAACTGGTTGAGAAAAAACAATTGTTTCACTTGCATTCTGGGCCTCAAAATGAAACGAAGCATTGCCACCCAAAACGTTTTCCGTGCGGCGCAAGCACAACAGGTGACCCACGAAGGGGTGGGTCACCAGAAAACTGGTTGAGAAAAACCAATTGTTTCGCTTGCATTCTGGGCCTCAACATGAGGCGACGCACTGCCACTCAATGCGATTTCGATACGTCGCAAGCACACCAGGTGACCCACGAAGGGGTGGGTCACCAGAAAACTGGTTGAGAAAAACCAACTGTTTCACTTTCATTCGGGGCCTCAACATGTGGCGATGCACTGCCACTCAATACGTTTTCCATACGGCGCAAGCACACCAGGTGACCCACGAAGGGGTGGGTCACCAGAAAACTGGTTGAGGAAAACAAATTGTTTCACCTGCATCCTGGGCCTCGTCATGAAGCGATGCACTGCCACTCAATACGTTTTCCATGCGGCGCAAGCACACCAGGTGACCCACGAAGGGGTGGGTCACCAGAAAACTGGTGGAGAAAAACAAATTGTTTCACCTGCATCCTGGGCCTCGTCATGTGGCGACGCACTGCCACTCAATATGTTTGCCATTCGGCGCAAGCACACCAGGTGACCCACGAAGGGGTGGGTCACTAGAAAACTGGTGGAGAAGAACCAATTGTTTCACTTGCATTCTGGGCCTCGTCATGAGGCAATGCGCTGCCACTCAATACGTTTGCCATACCGCGCAAGCACACCGGGTGACCCACGAAGGCGTGGGTCACCAGAAAACTATTGGAGAAAAACCAATTGTTTCACTTTTATTCTGGGCCTCGTCATGTGGCGATGCATTGCCACTCAACTTTTCCCATGCGGCGCAAGCACACCAGGTGACCCACGAAGGGGTGGGTCACCAGAAACCTGGTTGAGAAAAACCAACTGTTTCACATGCATTCGGGGCCGCAACATGAGGCGACGCACTGCCACTCAATGCGATTTCGATACGTCGCAAGCACACCAGGTGACCCACGAAGGGGTGGGTCACCAGAAAACTGGTTGAGAAAAGCCAATCGTTTCACTTGCATTCTGGGCCTCATCATAAGGCGATGCGTTGCCACGCAAAACGTTTTCCATGCGGCGCAAGCACACCAGGTGGCCCACGAAGGGGTGGGTCACCAGAAAACTTGTTGAGAAAAACAAATTGTTTCACCTGCATCCTGGGCCTCAACATGAGGCGATGCACTGCCACTCAATACGTTTTCCATACAGCACAAGCACACCGGGTGACCCACGAAGGGGTGGGTCACCAGAAAACTGGTTGAGGAAAACCAATTGTTTCACCTGCATCCTGGGCCTCAGCATGAGGCGACGCACTGCCACTCAATATGTTTGCCATACGGCGCAAACGCACCAGGTGACCCACGAAAGGGTGGGTCACCAGAAACCTGGTTGAGAAAAACAAATTGTTTCACCTGCATCCTGGGCCTCAACATGAGGCGATGCACTGCCACTCAATACGTTTTCCATACAGCACAAGCACACCGGGTGACCCACGAAGGGGTGGGTCACCAGAAAACTGGTTGAGGAAAACCAATTGTTTCACCTGCATCCTGGGCCTCAGCATGAGGCGACGCACTGCCACTCAATATGTTTGCCATACGGCGCAAACGCACCAGGTGACCCACGAAAGGGTGGGTCACCAGAAACCTGGTTGAGAAAAACAAATTGTTTCACCTGCATCCTGGGCCTCAACATGAGGCGATGCACTGCCACTCAATACGTTTTCCATACAGCACAAGCACACCGGGTGACCCACGAAGGGGTGGGTCACCAGAAAACTGGTTGAGGAAAACCA